TCTTTTTCTCTGACATGATCGTGTTTGTCATACGTTGCAGATACGGCTTCGAGCAGCTAACTCAGTCGATGGCCACGTGGTTGCACACAACGCAACTGCAGCACATCCTTTCAAGCCCATATCTCGGCGTCACATGTGACGAGAGCACAGACAGATGTCGTGGCAAGCATATGATTGTTCTCGCAACGTTCATCCGTGATAACCGTGTCGTCACTGAGTTCCTTGCTCTGCTGACTGTGGAGAAGGGCGATGCCGCCTCTCTCCTCTTAGTGTCCGTGTCCCACCTGCAGGCCCTCGGCATTGATCTTGCGAGGATTTCCAGCATGAGCACTGACGGAGCGAGTGTGATGATGGGCAAAAATAGCGGTCTTGTCGCTCGACTTCGCCTCCGCATCCCGCATCTTGTCTCAAGCCACTGCATCGCCCACAGGTACGTTGTGCCATGTGTTTCCGTTCATCTGGAGCTCTTGTAGCATCCCGTGCTCATGCTTGTTGGTGCCTGTATGTGTGTTGTTGTGAACTCAGGGAGGCGCTCGCAGCAAAAGACGCAGCTGAATCACTCCCCGAGTTCGAGATGGTCGATTCGCTCATCCGCCAAGTGGCTGAGCACCTGGGGCGTTCTGGCCCTTGGCATCAGCGGTTTGCTGCGCTTCAGGAGGTTTTCACCGCCACGAACCTAGAGCTCCAAGGGATTCACCAAGTCCGGTGGCTCTCCAGGGGTGACGCCATTCTGCGCGCGGTAGAGGTCTTCCCCGCGCTCATCGTCATGCTGTATGAGTGGGACAGCAAGCTATACGAGCTCGCCACCAGCTACAGGTTTCATTTCATGTTATACTTCCTTGCAGACATGCTTGAGCAGCTCAACGTGTTGAACAGGGCATTCCAGCAGCGAGAGGTGAGCAGGGTTACTAGCATGTCTTTGAACAGCGTCTGCTGCACCTTCCAAGATGTGCCTTTATTGTGTGATTCGCTTCTGTGTATGTTTTTTTTTAACCGGTTGAATGTAGAGCACAACTACCTGTTGCATTGTACCGATTTTGCCTTCCTTTCACCCTCTGTCTTTTGCCTATCAACATCTACTAGCTTGACATTGCAGGTGTCAATGCTTAGATCAGGAGATCCTTGTCTTTCCTGGAGTCCCACTATGTCGACTGTGGTGACGAATTCGGAGGCGGGATGAGCGCGCACCTCTCCCCGTTCATCAAGAAGCACGGGCCTGAGGGCCCCCCCCCCGAGGTGAAGGTGCAGGGAGTGGACTCGGATGGTCGGCCGACTACACACACCTTCCAGCTGCACGAGAACCCAAGCGAAGATTACCCAACCTTCGGCACTCACGACGCCTGCGTCGATCTCTGCACCACGTTCGCCGAGACGCTTGTGCGAAACCTCAGCACGCAGTTCAGGGACTTGGACTCCCTGGTGGGAGTGCGGCTCTTCATGCCAGACGAGTGGGAGCTTGGGAGAGCGGAGCGCCACAAGCAGTGTCTAGAGTGGCTCATGTCACTCGTGACTCTGTTCAGGGCACAGGAGTCGGACTACATCATTCCAGGTATTCCCGTTGCGTACATTGATGCTGTCTGTGAGGTGTTTTTTTGCAGGTTTAAACTGTATTGTGAACGTGTACGCCAGGCTCTCTAATCCCCTCTCTCTCTACCTTCTGTATTGACTGGCAGGGACAGACAAGCGGTGGGCGATCAAAGAACTGCGTACCTTCTGCCCCGTCCTCGTAGGTGCCCCGAAGAACGAGTGCAGCTTCCACACCGGGCTAACTGCAATACTGAAGACAAGCGACTGGACGACGAGCTACCCCAACATGGTGCGTCTCTGGGTGGCTGTCGTCGTGCTGCCGCTGAGCACAGTGGAGTGTGAGCGCGGCTTCTCACGGAATGTTATTAAATCGTGGCTGCGGGAGAGCCTCAAAGACGCCCGCCTTGAAGACCTGATCACGATGTCTCTCCTAGAGTACGAGCCCGACTACGATGAGGTGCTGCAGATCTGGCGCAACTACAAGAAGCGCCGCCCATTTGGCAATGTGGCCGCAGCTCCGGTAAGAGAGGGGGAGGGCAGTGGCAATGGCAAGGGAAAGGAGGCAGTTGAGGAAGCGGTAGAGGTGTTGGATGAACCAGAGGCTAACTGCTGCAGCGATGATGATGATTAAATGAACTCTCTGTTGTTGCTGCTGCTGATGCTAGCTAGGTTGCTTGCTTGCTAGTAGTTAGTGTTATCTTATTTAAGGGACCTTCAATATCATAACAGCCTTTGCAAAAAGGGAACACTGATGTGTCAGACTTTTTTTAAATGTCACTGAACTTTCAGGATTTTTTTTTTTTTTTTTTGGGATACTGTTGATCAGGGATTCTACATAGAGGGATCATGATGCTTTAACGTGCCTAAAAGCGAATCATAGGGCCTGGTCAGACCTGTGTCAGAATTCGAGTCTGACACAAATGAAGTGTCAGAATTCGAGTCTGACACAAAAAACGTGTCAGAATTCGAAATTGTGTCAGTAAAAGCTAACTCACAATAGCAATAATAACTACTGTATACAGTGAAAGGGGGTCTTATGATGTTTAGGGGTAAGAAGGGGGGTCCTCACAAAAAAAGTACCCCTACCCATTCAAGAATCCCGGGGGACCTTCTTACCGGTGGGTCTTTTAGCCGGAACTATACGGTAGCTTGACAAAAAACAAAGCAAAAGAAAATATTTGGGACTTGGGATGGCTGCTTAAGTTTGATAAAAAAAGAACCTCCCCAATCCTCATTCCCGATGAGCACGTATTTTGCTCAGGCCTATCCTTGTGAGGACAGAGCTAGTTTATGGAGATCCCCTCCTATCTTCCCCTTCCCCACTGTAAGGAATTGTAATTTCTTACAGTACTCACACTTTAATAACTACATCCCGAGGGTCACGCGATAAACCTGTTCGGGGTATTTCGTCGCACCGAACCACTCCCGAGTCGCCTCCACACCAATCGGAACCATCACCGAGCCATCTTCGCCCTACCTCTTCGCCTAGATAGCATTTCCTCTATTTAGTCGTGCCATTCTCATTGTATCGTCATTCAGTAATCAAACGTTCTCGTTATTCGTTTATCTGTGCGCTCTGCAAGTTCATTCATAACACCCCCCCTCCCCATTAATCAAGCTGAATTCTTTAGGTGACAACTACTTTAGGATCAGAGTACGGTATTTCTATTCTGCCTGGATGCGTACTGAGTCCTCGTTTATAGCGGTAGTTTCATCTTCATGGTCACCCACTGTCTAGAGAAGGAATTTCTGCGGTGTGCAGCGTTCACGTTTTTGTGCACCTCCTCTCGCTTCAGCAACGTTCAATCCGTCTGCGTGGGAAAAAATGGGTGCCCAGGAGGGGGGTTTGGTATGGGGGGAGTTCTGGTGTTTGTGAAGGGATATCCCTTCATGACCAACGTGATTTCAGGCTTGGCCCAAACCCAGCATTTCTTTGCGGGCGAGGTTTCCCGTTGGCCGTGTGACGTGTGGACTTCTGGCACTATGGTGCCTATTCGTATCCTGAAGTGGCCTAGTCAGTAGAAAGAGGCACTTCCGATAGATGAGGTCCTGGGATCGAACCCACCCCCGTGCAGGCGTGTTCTGCCAGCCCCAAGTAGGGGTTAGCACGTGCTCATCTAGGAATGGATACCCCTGTAACTGGTTACGACCAGAAAATATAACTTTAACTATGGTGCCTATTCGTCCCCAACCGCACAGTGAAGCTTTTGTCCAAGTTCAAACTGCCCTGGCTTCAGGGTACACATGTTCCCCGACAACTTCAAATCCTGCCAATATGAACCCCTTTCCGAGCGCGGTTCGGTCCAAGAAACATCACTCACTGCCCAGAACCGATTGAAAACGCTCTAAAATAGTTCAAAATGGTTCTAAACCATTATATTTTTCTGTCAGAGTGTTGAAATTGGAGGGAACTTTTTTGTTCCCTCCAATTTCAACCCCAGGGCTGAACGACAAGGGCTGAACGACAACCCCCGGGTGTTGAAATTGGCGAGGTTTGGGTGTACTGTACAGTTTTTCGTGTACAGTACAAACACCTCTGGGCAGCTGAGGCTGTTGGAGAAAATCGAGATTCGAGAGATCCTCGACGTACCGTACGTACTGTTTAGGGTGTGCCCTCAGGTTCAGGGTCATCTTTGCTCGGAACCCTGCCCAACCAGTCGTAAGTAAGAAAGTATCGCTCTTGAACTTGAATTACCGTATTGAACTGCGTTTGACGAGCTCACCGCGCTAGACGTTAGGGCGCGTGTGATCTTCGGATTTTGGTCTAGGTTCGAACTCAAACCGCTTTGCACCGTGGCAAAAAATGATTTAACTGTATCTTACCGTGTAGAGCCTTTCTAAAAGTTCGAACTTTGGGAAGTTCGAAAAAAGATCACACGCGCCCTTAGCGGCATTCAAGTGACACAATCTGGTGCAGGGCGTGTCGTTCATTTTTGTGTTCCTACTTTCCCCAGGTGCGCTTCTGACCAGCAGCAGCATCCTAAGGGCGTGGAACATTTGGGCTATTTTTTTTAACAAACGTATGGTTCGGAAAAATACCGCTCTGAAACGTGTTTAAGCCTACTCGAACAAAGCGTTTAACAAATGAACCATTTTCAACCGTTCAGGCGGTACGGCTCGTTTGAAAATTTTCCGAAATGTTCCACGCCCTAATACTGTACAGCACATGGAATCATGCATAGACTTCAACACCCATTCCAACAAATGGTGCGAGTACTATCCTGCCTTAGCGTCCAGCCTAGGTAAGTAGGAGCTAGACTAGGGGCTCCGAGCATATTCCCGCTGCTCTACCCTAAGAGCGTCGCATTTTGTCACATTCTACTCCTCTCCCTTGCGCTCCCTCGCTCCCTCACTCCCTCGGTCCCTCGTTCTCGCAGTTCCTAGCTCTCGTTCGACCTCTTTCTTCCCATCTCTCTCTCGCTCTCTCGCGGTTTCTTCCCATATGTCCCTTCATGACTCGCTCCCGATCGGCCATGCAAATGGCCCACACCGTCGGATCACCCGCCGTCCCAACAGCCGACAGCACCGGCGCTAGTGCCGGCACCGTCAGCGGCGGCAACGGCGACCGCGGCACCGGCACCGGCAGCGGTGGCGGCGGCGGTGGCGGCGGCGAAGGCAGTTCCAGCACAAGCCATTCCCGCGCGTCGGGCTCAGCGGTCGGGAGAGCGCGCAGCGAAGCCGCCGTTATAGACATCGTCAGTATTCCCGAGGATTCGCCCTTCGACGCTCGCACCTCCTCTGCTCTCCTTGCCAACCCCCCCTCCGCTGCTGCCGCTGCCGACTCTTCCGCACAATCGCTGCGCCATCCCCCCGCCGCCTTCACTCCGGACTCATCTCACGCGTTCTCCGCCGCAACTCCCGGCGCCAGTTCCTCTTCCGCCGATCTCGCGCTCCTCCAGCCGCCCTCCGCCAACCCGCGCTCGCGCTCTCCGTCCCGCTCCTCCTCCCGCTCCTCCTCCTCCGCCTCGTCGTCCCGCACGTTCAGCTTCGCCGCGGCTCGGAGCTTCTTCAGTGGCCGACTCGGCACGCTCTCGCGCCGCCATAACGACCAGCATCAATCCTCGGACGCGACCCGGCCGGTTCCTGACGCGGGTGGAGCCGCGGAGAGCAGCGGCGGCGTAAGCGGCGGAGGCGGCGGCTCGGTGGAGGCAGCCAGGGAGGAGAAGGAGGTGCGGGGATGGCAGTCGTCGGTGTTCGCGCCGCTGCTGCTGCGCCCCGCGCTGCGGAGGCGCGCAGCGATGCGCGGAGTGGAAGAGGCGGAAGAAGGGGAGGAAGGGGGAGAAGTGTGCGAAACGAGCGAGGAAGCTTCCCTCGTTCCGCACGTGTGTGACTCAGCGTGTTCCGCGGCGCGCGGGTGCCCGAGGGAGCGCGGAACCGCCCCCGATAGTAGCGCTGTCGGCGGCGCGCACGCGCTGTCCGCGTGGGAGGCGGAGGAGCGCGAGCGGGAGAGGGCGCTAGAAGCTGCGGAAGCGGCGGACGGGGAGGGGGAGCGCGCGGAGGACGAAGAGGACGAGTACTGGGGGGCTCCGGGCGTGTCTATATTCGATAGTCCCCCCCCGGAGGCCATGCAAGCGCCCATAGGGTTCGGGGGAGCGCTTGGCGGGGGGAGGCGGGCGACGGGGGAGGCGGAGTGGGGGAGCGGGTGCCCGCGGTTCCTGCAGGGGCTGCGCGAAACGGGGGGGGACTGGTGGCAGGAGCGGCAGCTGCGGTGGCGGAAGAGGAGGCGAGAGGGGGAGGAGGGCGGAGGGGGGGAGGGCGGGGAAGGGGCTGGGGGGGAAGGGGGTGGGGAGGAAGGGGAGCGAGCAGGGCAAACAACCGGCGGGCATGGCAGCATCGGTGCTTTTGGCAGCGGCGGCGGCAGCAGCAGCGTCAAGCCCAGCGTCGCGAGTAGCATGAGCGCCACGAGCAGCACCAGCCTGAGCACCACTAAAACCTTCCGCTACCCCGCCAGCGCATCCCAAGCAGCATTCCCCCGCGGCGCATCCTCCTCCCCTTACCCCAAATCCTCCACACTCGGAGGCGGCGCGGGAAGAGTCGGAGCAGCAGGCAGCAGCGGCACCAGCAGCAGCATGACGGAGTGGGGGAAGCAGCGGTGGTGGTTCGGGCGGGTGATTGACCCGCGGAGCCCGGCAATGAGTCGCTGGTCGCGCTTCTATGCAGGAATCACAGCAGTCTCTCTCTTCTCCGACCCCTGCTTCCTCTACATGCTCTCCTTTTCCAGCGACTCCTCCTGCCTCTACATCCAGGGCCCGTTTGTGATAATCATGGCGTCCATTCGCACGCTCTGCGATGTGTTCTACCTGATCAACTCTTGCCTCGCGCTGCGCACGTCGTACGTGTCCCGGGAGAGCATGGTGCTGGGGACAGGGGAGCTCAAGACGTCGGCGCAGGAGGTCGCCGTGCATCATCTCAGGTCCTGGAGCGGGCTTTTCCTCGACATTCTCGTGGTTCTGCCCATCCCGCAGGTTCTCTGCTTGATCGCCGTGCCGTACTTTCTGCTGCAGGCCAAGGAAGGGGAATACGGGTACGTGGAGGAGGGCATCGGAATCATGCTCTCGTTCATGCTGCTTCAGTACTGCGTGAAGGTGTATCACACTTACGTGGTGGCACGGCGGCAGCAGAGGGTCAACGGGTATGTCTTCGGCACCTCCTGGTGGGGCTTCGTGTTGAACATGCTCGTGTTTCTCATCACCGCGCATGGCTTCGGAGGGCTGTGGTATGTCCAGACGGTGCAGTCAGCCATTCAGTGCCTCATAGGGGAGTGCAATGACTCTAAACCCGCCTGCACGCACGACTGGCTCACCTGCCCGGAGCAGTTCGCATGGGGGGACATGCCGCCGCCGCAGAACAACAAGCAGGCGGCGTGGGGCGGCAGCACCAACGTGACAGACAACTGCTTCCCGCCGTTCGGCACCTCGGGAAGCTACAACTATGGAATCTATGACTTTGCAGTGCAGCTGCTAAAAGAGCAAAGCCCTCACGAGAAGATCATGTACGGGATTTTCTTCGGAATCATGACTCTAGCAACGTTCGGCAACGCACTCGTGCCGTCCGCGAGTATAGGCCAGTCGGTGTTCGCGCTGATCATGGTGATATGCGGCCTGCTGCTCTTCACGTCCCTTATCGGCAACATCGAGGTGTTTCTGCACTCCATGACGGCCCGCATCGAGGACATGCATCTTAGGAGACGGGACTTAGACTGGTGGATGCGGCGGCGACAGCTTCCGACAGACCTCCAAATGAAGGTGCGGCGGCAGGAGCGGCACACGTTTGCGTCAACCCGAGGCCTGCACGAGGAGGAGTTGCTTGACGGGCTACCGGACAGTCTTCAGAGGGACGTGCGGCGGCACTTATGCCGCGGGCTGGTGCGGCGGGTGCCGCTGTTTGAAGCAGTCGACGAGGCCGTGGTGGATAATATCTGCGCGAGGCTGCGCTCCGTGGTGCTTATAGCGGGGACGCAGGTGGCCAGGCGGGGAGAGCCAGTAGAGGAGATGCTGTTCATAGCCCGGGGGTTCCTGCGGGGGTCGCGGGATGATGCTGATGCTGCCGCTGGTGCTGCTGCCAATGGGAAGTCCGGGTGGGGGAGTAAGCGGCATGAGTCGGGGAATAGAAACGGGAGCAGCGTGCAGGGCAGCAGTAGCCGCACGGTGGGAGCGGGGTTCTCTTCCTTTACCAGCGGCTCGCGTGGGATGAACTCACTGAGCTTCCGCCTGCCCTCTGCTGTGAGGTCTCTGCACCTCCGATCCTCTTCTCATGTGTCCTCCCATGTGACCTCTTCCCACGTGTCCTCTCATATGTCTTCGGCTGCCTCCGCTGCTTCTTCCTCCAATGCATCGCTCTCTGCCTTCACTGCTATCCCCAAGCTGCCTCTGATCGTTACTCCTCCTCGCGCCGCCGCTGCTGGTTCTGGTGCCGCTGGTGCTGCTGGTGCGGCTGGTGGCACTGCTGGTGCTGCTGCTGGTGCGGGTAGTGCTGCTGGTTCTGCTGCTGCTGACACCTCCAAAGCTCCTCCAGCAATTATCATCACCGCAGCACCAACCAACCTCACATCAACCCCACCCGCCTCCACCACCACCCCACCAGCTTCCCCAACTGCTGCCGCCGCCGCTGCCGCTTCCGCTGCTGCTGCCACCGTGGCTGCTGCTGCCACCTCTGCCGTTTCAACAGCAGCTGCTGTTGCATCCAATGTCACAGCCACTGCCCAAGGCGCAACAGGCGCTCTGGTTACTCGCGCCCCCAGCCCTCCAGTTCTCTCCAGGCCTAAAGTCCCTGCGTTTGCACGAGCTGCAGCGGCTGCAGCGAGAGGCGATGCGAGCGCAGCAGGTGTGGCAGGAGCGGCAGCAGCGACTGCAGCTGCTGGTATCGCTCCCAACAACCCCTATCGTCGCCACCTTTGGCACCGGCACCCCCGCTTCCCTAATGGCTCGAACAATGAAAGGCCCTCTGCCTCTGGTGCTGGTGGTGCTGGCTCTGCTGCTGCTGCTGCTGCTGCCGCTGGTGCTGGTGCTGGTGCTGCTGCTGCTGGTAACGGTGCGGGATTCGGGATGTATGTTGAGAGCGCGTGTGAGATGGGCCCAGGCCATTTCTCAGGTGAGGAGCTGCTCTCTTGGGCGCTATCCCGAGAGCCAGATGAAGCTCTGCTACCAAAAGCCACGATGACTCTAACCGCTGTGACTGTAGTGGAGGCTTTCAGCCTGTCTGCGGCTGATTTGTGCTTCATAGCATCACATTTCCGGTTCCAGTTGAGGGATAAGAAGCTGAGGGCGCTGATTAAGTATTATTCGCCGCACTGGCGGACTTGGGCTGCTGTAACGATCCAGCTTGCGTGGCGGCGGCGACAGGCGGAGCGAAGAGCGGTGGTGAGGTTTGTGGGAGGAGAACGGGAGGTTAGGAGGGGTGGAGAGGGTTCTGGGAGAGGTAGGATGCGGGAGGCTGGAGGGGCTGGGATGAGGGGAGCGGGAGGGGCAGTGGTGGTAGGGTTCAGAGGAGGTGAAGGAGGAGGAGGAGGAGGACTGGAAGGAGTGGGGGAGGGGGAGGAGGATGAGGTGGATGGGGTGGAGGAGATAGAAATGATTGAGTCGGTGGCTGCTCAAGGAAAGGAAACCAGGAGAGGAGCCTCATCAGGGCACGGGAGGGGCAAGCAGCAGCAGCCGCAGGAACAGAACCAGCAGCAGATGCAGCAGCATCAGCAGCAAGTACATAGAGCTGTTACCGCTCCTACTGTCATTGCACCTGCTCGTGCCTCTGCAGGTGCTTCTGCAACCGCTACCGCTGCAGCTGCAGCCTTCTTAAAACCGTCTATGTATATACAGCAGCACGGCTCAAGACCACCCCACCCCCATCAGAACCTCCCTCCACATGCCCTTCACACACCTCCTCCTCCTCCTCCTCCTGCTTCTGGTGCTGCTGATCCGAATGCCATGGCTACTGTTCAACCATCCTCCGCCGCTGCCCCCACTTCTGCCACCTCCTCCACCCCTGCAGTCTCCGAACCTGCCACCATCGCTCCTGCTGCTGCTGCCGCTGCAGCAGCCGCTGCTCCTCCTCCTGCCTTTGCCGCTGCTGTTGGGCATGGGGGTGGTTCCTCTGCTGCTGCTGCTGGCGACAGTGGTGTTAGAGCAGCAGCAGCAGCAGCAGCAGCAGCGGCGGAGGAGGAGAGGACACAGGAGCGCATGCGGCTCTACACCACCATGTTTGCTGCTCCCCCTAAGCCTGCTGGGGATTGACAATGCTGCAGGGGATCTTCACTTGGAGCACACTGGGGAGGGGATATTCCCAGTTGACTGAAACGCACGCAGGAGCGCATGCGGCTCTACACCACCATGTTCGCTGCTCCCCCTAAGCCCGCTGGGGATTGACATGATTGATATGACAATGGTGGAGACTCAGAAGTTGTGCTTGTGCTTTAAGGTGACTTGGAGGGCTTACATTATCCACCATGTTTGCTGCTCCGCCCAGGCCCACCTGAAACGCATAATAACGTAGGTTCGGGAACAGGGCGGAGAGATGTAGCGGGGATTTACCGTGTACTGTACTGATTTATTGTGTCTGATTATTTAGGTGTACCTGCCTGCTTCCTCGGCTCCAGTCTTCCCTTCGTTTCTTCCCCCCCCACTTTGTAGCATAGGTACAGTGTTATTTTATTGAATGCTTGTTATGCTGACTGAATATACGGTATTTGATATAGGTACATTGGTCGTGATACCACACATTGCCTGTATGCAGATGACACAGAATGCATTTCAATTGAAGGTACAACATACAGTAGCTACACAAGGTAAGGGAGCACGTGATACCACACATTGCCTTCAAATGAATCCTCTTAAAACCCAAAGTGGGTCTCACGTCATATCTCTTCCACCTCCACCTCGAACCCACACCAGCAACGCTTATGTACAACATGCGGCGGAGGACACTCACTACCTGATCCCCCATCACCATCACCATCACCCACCACACCAGCACCCTGACTCCCTCCGCTGCAATTCCCTCCCTCCACACACACCACTTCCAACTCATGCACATGCCTTGCTCCCGCCCGCCTCTCACCACCCTCACCCTTGCTCTCCTCCTCCCCTTCCTCCTCTTCTCCTTCCTCCTCTTCCCTTCCCCCCTCACTCGTTTCCTCCTCATCATCGTCCTCCTCCTCTTCCCCCTCAACCGCACATCCAATATCCAATCGCTCCACCCCTTCCCTCCGAAACCCGGCAATCTTGCTCCCCTCACCGTCCATAACACCCACACCAACAGCGGCAGCAACACCATCACCACCATCATCACCAGCAGCACCGCCAGCACCACCACCACCGCCAGCAGCAGCATCATCATCAGCAGCAGCAGCAGCAGCAGCAGCAGCTTCATAGGTATCCTGCAGTCTCTGGCGTGTGAGCATGGCCCCTATGAGCGCATGCCATCGCTCCAACGCTGCATTGCGCCGCCGCTGCAGTGCCAATTCCAGGTGCCGCTGCTCCTCTGCTGTGTACGCCTGCATGGAAGGGAAGGAGAGGGGAGAGAAGTGAAACAATTTTCAACAGTTAACAATTCACAATAACTTTTATTTTTTATTGAGGCCTGCAGTCAACAGTTTTCTGCCACTGTTCCTGCAGTGTGTGTGCCTGCAGTGTGTGTGCCTGCAGGGAGAAAGGGGAAGGGAGTGTTAGAGTAAGGGGGAGAAAGGGGAGAGCGACGGAGAGTGGGACAAAAGTTTTGCAGTTGTCTATAAGCTACTCATACCCACCTACTTGAACGCTCCCATCTTTTACAACCCACAATATCCCCAAATTACCACCCCTACTCTTCCCACCCTTTCGACCCTCCCTCCTCATCTTTCTCCTCATCTCCATCCCATCTCCCTCCTCCACCCCTCCCCCAACTCCACCCACCCCAATCTCTCCTCTATCTGCAAGGAAGGCCCCACAACACCCCCCTCTCCCATTCTCCTCCCCACGCCTCCCCCACAACCCACCCCATCCCCTTCGGTTCACATCCACTATCACACCACCATGCTCCGCACACACCACCAGGCCCTCGAACTTTAATTACAAGACATTACAAAACCCCACCCTATCCCCTTTGATCCACTCACATCCACGATAGCATCAGCGTGCTCCGCACACACCACCAGTCCCCCGTATTTCCATTCTGAGACATCTCAAAACCCCGCCCTATCCCCTTCATTATACTCACATCTACTATAGTATCTGCGTGCTCTGCACACACCACCAGCCCTTCATACTTCGGCGTCGCCTTGCCTCCCTTCCACTCAAACCCCACCACCGCCGGCGCAAAGTCAAACCCCAGCCGCTGCACCACGGTTACAAGACGCGGTAACCGCAGGTGAACAGTGCCCGGAGGGAGGCATTTCTCCGACCACACCTCCACCTGCCCCCGCTCGTTCTTGGGAATCCGGCCGTCCACTGCTGGTGGCGGCCGCCAGGTGTCAGTCTGCCATTCGCCGAAGAGCTCGATAGTTATGGTGGATGGGGAGGATGCGTTGTCGTCGCCCGTTGCCCTTCCTGCTCCTGCTTCCGTTTCAATCCTTGCTGCTGCTGCTCCTCCTCTTCCGTCCATTGATCCAATGGCTGCTGCTGCTGCATCCTCATCCTCAGCAGCAGTCGACCCTGAACCCATCCGGCCAGCAGCAGCAGCACGGGCGGTGGAGCGCATGCGGGCGGCGACGTGGGAGGGAAAGCACTCGTGCGGGAGAATGTGCGTGCGGGACTGGTAGGGGTTGCGGCGGTGGATGGCGCGAGGAGCTGGAGGCTTGCGTGTGAGCTGAGAGGGAGAGGTGAGAGGTCATGTGGTGTAGGAGAGAGGGAGGAGCTTCAAAATGGGCTAATTAACAAAATTTATGAGAATAAGAATAATTATAATTAAAAAAAAAATCAATGAGCTAATTCAAAAATCAGTCTCTGTCTTGACAGGAGCTTCCCCGTCGCGCACGAGCCTACCTTCCTTGAGCCACTGGTGCCGCGACCTCAGCAGTTTCCACTGTGACTAAAGAAACTTATTAACAATGAGCTGACTGGAAAATCACTTACTGTCTTGACAGGAGCCTCCCCGTCGCGCACGCGCCGGCCCTCCTTGAGCCACTGGTGCCGCGACCTCAGCTGCTGCACGCACGCACGGGGGAACACCGCCTCCCCGCTACACACCCCCAGCACGGGCCCCCTGGGTCGCAGCCATTGGTACGCGCCCAGCCACCGCTCCAAGACATACAGAGGGTGGTTTCGGTATGCCTGGAAAGATTGTGGGTGGGAAGGGGTGTGGGGGAGTGATGAAATCAGGAAGAATGAAACCCAAAGCCCCAGCACGGGCCCCCTGGGGCGCAGGCAATGGTACGCGCCCAGCCACCGCTCCAACACGTACAGAGGATGGTTGCGGTATGCCTGGGGGAAGGGGGAGAGGTTTGTTTTGAGGCAACAAAGAGGGGCGAACCAAGTCCCACAAGGCTTGACATACATGCCTGCCTGCCTGCCTGCCTGCCAGGTTGCCAGCTCATGAGCTGTGGCATGCGAGTGCCCAGAAGATCACTAATTGGAATGGAATGGAATCACCTATGCAAGTGACCCCAGTGCAGTATTGTGAACAGACTTTTGAGGCGCCTCAAAACCGCGAGACATGAGACGACTTTTGAGGCGCCTCAAAATGCAAGTGACCCCAGTGCAGTATTGTGAACAGGGAACCCCTCTCTATGTTGTTGAATCTTGTGAGTCGACTCAAATGTAAACTGAGTTATACTCAGTTTAATGTTGTTGCATCAAGTTGTTCCATTGGCATCGCCATGACTGCTGTAAGCCTGGTGCAGCAGCTAGTACTGCATGACCTCACCTGTTGGTTGGACGGCAACGGCTCTGTGAGTTGCTTCACGTCCATCTCCATGTCCTCAGCTGCTGCCCTCTCGTCCCATGCTGCTGCTGCAGTTGTTGGTCGTGGTGGTGGTGGTGGTGGTGCTGCTGCTGCTGCTGCTGCTGCTGCTGCTGCTGATTCTGCTTGAACCCGCTGCTGCTGCTTCAGCAGGCACAGCAACAGCAGCAGCCAGCGCTGCAGCAACCCCACCACCTGCCGCACCCTTCTCTGATGCCCCTGCACTTGCACGTGCACATGCACTTGCAGCAGAATCCCCTGCAAGGCCAGAGGAGGAGGCAGCAGCTGAGGGCTGCAGGCCAGACAAGGCCATCGATACCGGCAGGGGAGTCACAGAGGAGGGAAATGGGGAGGACGCGAGGACAGGGGATGGGGCTGGGAGTGGTGGGGTTACAGAGGACGGTGCTGAGGGGTTCGCCTGGGTAATTGGGGGAGTTAGAGGTGCTGGAACAGGTGGGATGGAGGAGGGGAGGGCAGGAGGAGGAGAAGGAGCAGGAGCAAGAGGAGGAGGAGGAAGAGCAGGAGGAGGAGCCGGAGGAGGAGGGAGGAAGCGGTTGGCAGCAGTGGCAGCGGCTTCTAGTGATCGCAGGGGGGACAGGGTGGACGCCCACCAGTCTTCGTCCCTGAGAGGCGAGATCAGTGACCAGCGTGCAGCGTAGCTGAAGGGTGGGATGGGTGGTGGAATGAAAGGAAAGGCAAGGAGAGGATCAAATCTCCAGATGTGTGGCAGCACAGGGGGCAGAGTAGGGTGGACGCCCACCCCACCAGGATTCGTCCCTGAGGGGCAGGAGTATAAAGTGATTTTTTGAGACGTCTCAAAAATTCACTTTATGCACGTGGTTTCCCTGAGAGGTGCAGGACCACTGACCAGCGTGCAGCATAGCTGAGGGGGAGTGGGGAGGAGAAAAGAACGGAGTTTTGAGAAGAGGTGAGCCGAGGTGAGAAGAGGAAAGCAGAGGTGTTTCTGAATGAGAGAAAAGATGTTGAGAAAGTGAAGCAAGAAGTGCACACATCGGTTTGACACGCCTGAACACATAGAAACACGAATAAAGTGGAGCGTACCTACTGTCTCGTAATGTCCTTGGCACCACCGCCCACCAAGCCTATGACGTACACGAGGGGCTGAGCCACTTCGTATGAATTCTCAGTCTCCAACTTGCAGCAGAGACAGAAAGCGCGTACCGTCTGGTGACGTCCTTGGCGCCACCGCCCGCCAAGCCAATGACATACGTGAGAGGCTGAGACATGCCCATCAACAAGCCCTCCACCTTCTCCTCCCCGTCCACCACCCCCCTCCCCCCATCCACATGCACCCACCGCCCCACACTGCCAGCAGAAGCACCAGCAGCAGCACCAGCAGCAGCAGCAACAGCAGCAGCACCAGAACCAGAGCCAGTACCAGCAGTAGCTGCACCACCACCACTGGCACCACGTGAATCCCCACCTCTCCTCCCACCAATGGCCCGAGCACCCATCCTTCCAGCACTCCCTTTCTTCTCCGCCCCAGCAACAACACTGCTGCTCTCAGAGCTCTCTGCCAGGCATCGTCTCCTGCCACTCACGAAAACCTCAGCCCAGTGCGAGACCGAGGCAAACTGGCGCGACCATACCACTGCACCTCCGCTGCTGCTTCTGCTATTCCTGCTGCTGCTGCTGGGCCTGGAGCTACCACTTATGTGTGTTGTTGCAAGGCTGCTCCAGCTCACACCTGCTTCCTGCCGCAGGGACGCTGCTCCTCCTCTTGCAACTTCTGTTGTTCCTCCTGTTGTTCCTGCCTTTGAGCCTGCTGCACTGCTGCTGGGAACATTTGTCAATGCACTGGAGGAGGCAGCAGCAATGCCAGCTACTGCTGCTGCTACCGCTGCAGCTCCTGCAGTCCCTGCTGCTCCTGTGGGAGAGGGGTTACCAGCAGCAGTGGTGGCAGCAGCAGCAGTAGCAGCCATGGCCATAGCCAGCTGCAACTCAAACTCCTCATCTCCCTTCCTCTTTCGCTTCCGCTGCTGTTCTGTATGCAACTCTTCTCCTTCTCCTGAGACTCCTGCTTCTCCTCCTCTTCCTGCTTCTCCTGCTGCTGCCCCTGCTCTATCTCCTCCTCTTCCTTTTCCTCCGCCTCGTCTTCCATCCACCTCTGCTTCATCTTTTAAGTCCCCTCCTCTCTCCCCGCCTCTTTTTCCGCCCTCCATCACCCCTTCTTCAATCTTAACTGCAGCCACGGGAAGCCTGCAATTACATCTTTCACAATCACTTCCATTACAATCACCTCCTTGACTGTGACCTCCTTCACAATCACCACCTGTTCGCCTCTCATCCGCGCTCTGTTCACTCCCCTCCTCCCTCTCCTTTTTCACCCTTTGCCTCGTCACTCGCCCTACCCCCATCCCGTCCTTCTCTCGTCCCCCACTCTTCGTCCTGTCCTCCTCTTCCTCCTCCTTCCCACGCCTCCTCTTCCCCACCGCACTCCCCCTCCCTCCCCTTCCTCTCCCTTTTCCCCCTCCCCGTTTTCCACCACCTCTTTCACCCCTACCACCCCCCCCACTCCCCTCTCCCGCGTCCTCCTCTCCACCCACCCGTCCTTTAGAATCACCACCACCGCTATAACAACCACCACCACTGTCACGGCTGCCCTTGACCCTGCCTCTTATGCCACGGGTGCCACCACTGCGTATCTGTGCCTCTGCTGCCTCTTCTGCCTTATCGGGTGCACATCTGTACATCCCCTTCCCCTGCACACCTTCCCTGTTGATCCCCACATCTGCAGACGCACTAGACGTCAGAGCACCCTCGCCTACTGTCTGCTTTATACTCCCCGCCCTGCTTGTCCCACTCGTTGCTGCCGCCCTTTTTCCTCTCCTGCCCTTCCCACCAGCAGCAACACCAGCACTACCAGCCGCACCAGCACTGCGATCACAGTCAGCAATCGGAATAGCAGGGGTGCCACCACCACCACCACCGCCAGGAAACTCAGCAGGAGAATTAGGAGCACCGGCAGAAGCACCACTGGCAGCACCAGCAGCCGCAACAGCAGCAGCAGCAGCAGCAGCAGCAGCGGCAGCAATGGCAGCAACAGCAGTGCGTCTCTTGGGAAAACGCGCACCAGGCAAGGCAGCAGCAGCACCAGCAGCACCAGCAGCAGCACCAGCAGCACCAGCAGCAGCACCAGCAGCACCAGCAGCAGCACCAGCAGCACCAGCAGCAGCACCAGCAGCACCAGCAGCACCAGCAGCAGCACCAGCAGCAGCACCAGCAGCACCAGCAGCAGCACCAGCAGCAGCACCTGAAGAAAGACCAGACACCTGATGGTGCAACGACAGCTGATTCCCAGGCGCAAGGGCGGGTTCAGAGGGAGCGGCGGCGGGAGCGGTGGAGAGTGGGAGGATGCGCGTGCGATGAGTGAATGGGGAGGGGGAGCGGGAGGCGGGTGTTCGTGGGTAGGGGGCGTTGGAGGAAGGGTCGAATTCTGATAAGAGCTGAGCGGTGGGTTTCAGAGGGGAGGGGGAGAGGGCTGTCACTAGCCTGTGGGAGGGTGTAGGAGGGAGGGAGGAAGTGGAATGCGCATGGAGGAGGGAGGAAGGAGGAAGTACAGAGGAAGGTGGTTAAATAAAAGTACTAAGTGCACGATGACTGGAATTGGCAAGAATCGCCTGAGAAGCCACTAAGGGACGACAGACAGACAGACAGACAGACAGACAGACAGACAGACAGACAGACAGACAGACAGACAGACAGACAGACAGACAGACAGACAGACAGACAGACAGACAGACGGACAGTACCTGGCAGTGAAGCCAAGAGCACGGAAGAGAGCGACAGAGAGAGCAGCGATCTCTTCAGCTGAGCCCCCTCTGCGCGCCACTGCCTGGTGTAGACCCTCTGTCAGGTGCGCGGAGAGGGAGAGGGGCGACTGATTCTGCCCAGTGCTGCTGCTGCGGTTGCTGCTGTGGTTGCTGCTGTGGTTGACTGTGCGGCTGGGATGATGCTGCAGCTGTGCTGGTGGCAGGGGTTGGAACGGTGAGGAGGAGGAGGATGGTTGAAGTGTGAATACAGAACGGACCTGCATGGGAGGTTTGGGCGACGAGGTATGGAAGAACGAGGTGAGCATGTAGGGCTTGACAGCTCCATTGGAAGGTAAGGCGGTTGGAGGGCAGAGAAGACAAATTCTCGATTAGAGAATGAGTATAAACAAGAAATGGCCAACAGAGAGGGACAGGCGGACAGACAGACAGACGGACGGACGGACCCAGGATGTGAGCTGCTGCAGCAGGTGAAGGGAGGGAGCCTGGTGCGATGCTGCTGCCTCCTCTGCTTCCTCTGATAGCAGCCGTGGTGCCAGCGATAGCATGGCCGCCTGCATGAGGAATGGGGGGGTGGGGTA